TTTATACAATTGTGTGCCCATTAAGATAGATTTATAATTATCATTTTATTTACTTGCTTTTTAAATCATATAGGGAAAAAATAGGAGTTACAAACCAAAAATGTTCAATAATACTGGCTTTTATGTTTACCCATATGATCACAACATGAGTAAATCCCACTGATCATGATGTATAATTCTTTCTCTATATTGCTGAATTTTATTTGTTAACTTTTTGTTTGTTTGTTCATTCGTTTTTCGAGACAGGGTCTCGCTCTGTTGCCCAGACTGGAGTGCAGTGGCATGATCACAGCTCACTGCAGCCTCAACCTCCTGGGGTCAAGTGATCCATCCTCCCACCTCAGCCTCTGGAGGAGCTGGACTACAGACACATGCCACCATGCCTGGATAGTTTTCATATTTTTTCTTCTTTTTTTTTTTTTTTTTTTTGAGAGAGTCTCGCTCTGTCGCCCAGGCTGGAGTGCAGTGGCCGGATCTCAGCTCACTGCAAGCTCCGCCTCCCGGGTTCACGCCATTCTCCTGCCTCAGCCTCCAGAGTAGCTGGGACTACAGGCGCCCGCCACCTCGCCCGGCTAGTTTTTTGTATTTTTCAGTAGAGACGAGGTTTCACCGTGTTAGCCAGGATGGTCTCGATCTCCTGACCTTGTGATCCGCCCGTCTCGGCCTCCCAAAGTGCTGGGATTACAGGCTTGAGCCACCGCGCCCGGCTTTTTCTTCTAAAGAGAGAATTTCACCATGTTGGTCAGGCTGTCTCCTGAGTACAAGGGATCCAACTGCCTCAGCCTCCCAATGTGTTAGAATTATAGGCATGAACCATCGTGCCCAGCCTTATTTGTTAATATTTTAAAGGACTTTTACATCTATATTCATGAAAGATAATGGTCTGTAGTTTTCTTCCTTTTCCTCTTTCTTTCTGTTTCTTTTCTCTTTTTTAAAAACAATCTTTGTTTTATTTTGTTACCAGGGTAGTTTTACTTTTGCAAAATGAATTGGAAAATACTCCTTTTATTTTCTGGAAGAGATTATGTGGAAATGTGTTAATTCTTCTTTAAAATTTGGTATAATTCTCCTGTAAAACTTTCTGGGTTTGGAAGTTTTTTTGGAGTTATAAAAATAATAATTCAATATTATTACTAGTTATGGGATTATCCAAATGATATATTTTGTATTAGGCAAACTGTGGTACTTTATGTTTTCCAGGAAAGTGGTCCATTTAGTCTGAGTGGCCAAATTTATGTGCTAGAGTTTTTCATACTATTCCCTTATTATCCTTTCGATTTCTGCAGGGTCTATAGTGATATCTTCTATTTCATTCTTGATATTAGTAATCTGTATGTTTTCTCTTTTTTGTCAGTCTTGGTACACATTTGTCCATCTTATTTATCTTTCTAAAGGACCAGCTCTTGGTTTTGTTTTTTTTCTTTTTTTCCATTTTTTTTCCAATTTCATTTTTTTCTCCTCTTCATTATTTCTTTCTTTTTGCTTAATCTAGGCTTATTTGGTTCTTATTTTAGGTACTTGACATAGGAGTTTAGATTATTAATTTGAGACCCTTCCTCTCTTTTAATCTATATGTGATGCTTTCCTTTCATTAACAATTTTGTAAGTCTGGAGTAGACACCTTACACCAAAGACACCAGCTGACTTAAATGAAAAGCTAGGCTTGAGAGGATAGTAGATGTTGGTGACATAAAGGAACCAAGGGTGCTACAGCAGGATAGCATGAGTTTTAGTGGCATTGACAATATAGTTGGGAACTCCAAGTTGATACATGAAATAATGAGTGCTTATTACAAGAATACCACCAAGTGTTAGCTTGAGTTGGTACAAGTGCTAGTGGTAGCAGCAAGAAGGAAAAATTGAGTGAACAATCACAAGAGGGTGGAAATGAGCATGAAGTAATTTCTGGTGACAGAGGCCTGCCTGCCTGACAGAAGATCTTTATATAGGAGCAGGGAGAAATGGGGTTGGTGAATTAGGGTGGAGCCAGATATAAATGAACTGAAAAATCAGAAAGATTTGTACTTGATGTGATAGGCCGATGGGTTGGCATTTATTGAAAGTACCATATGAAAGAAAAGGCAAGCTGCAGCCATGTTAGGTTTCTGTCCTCACTCCTCTAACAAACTGGTTGGCAGCTGCAACTCCCCAGGCATGGTCTGTGGAATATGGCAAGGCAGAGAGCCATCTACATAGGAGGGAGCATACCTTAAAAAGTGGTGGGGATAGGAGTAAAGAAAACCAAAAAAAAAAAAAACTGGGCCAGACGCGGTGGCTCACGCCTGTAATCCCAACACTTTGGGAGGCCGAGGCGGGTAGATCACCTGAGGTCAGAAGTTGGACACCAGCCTGGCCAACATGGTGAAACCCCATCTCTACTAAAAATACAAAAAATAGCCGGGCGTAGTGGCACATGCCTGTAGTCCCAGCTACTCGGGAGGCTGAGGCAAGAAAATCGCTCAAATCTGGGAGGCGGAGGTTGCAATGAGCCAAGATTGCACCACTGTACTCTAGCCTGGGTGATAACAGTGAAACTCTGTCTCAAAAAAAAAAAAAAAGAAAAGAAAAGAAAAGAAAAAAAACCTAATTTGTGACAACCTAAGAACTCCAGAATTAGGAGATCAGATATAAAAAGATAATCTTCCTAGAGGAAAAGAGTAGTGCTGCAAACATACAAGAAATAATAAGATGAGGTCTTTTGGGGAGCTATCAATGACTGATTTTATATCTTGTGTCTCCACGAATGCTTAGTACACAGCCTCATGCACTGATGATATTCACCATATTTAAGCAGAAAGGAAATGATTTGTTTTGATTTAGCTTGTTGGTTCACATGATCCTGAACCTCATAGAATATGATTAAGTGAATAAAATAATACCATCATGAAATTGTTTATTGAGCATCCACTACATGCCGAGTACTGTTACTAGACTAATAAAAAAGCAAAATAAAACTCTTGTCAGTGAGGATGCAAGACCTTGACCAAAATAGTTACACCAAAGTTATTAGGTGTTTAATAGTTATTAGGTGTTTAATACTATGCACTTCTAGGGTAGGCTATATACCTTCATCTTCCCAGAAAGATTAATAGTGTCTATAATTTCAACTTTCAAGAGCAGATGCAATCAAGGGAGGCAGTATTGCATAATATAAGAGCATTTACTTCCAAGTTTAGCTGCCTGTGTTTAAATCCTTGCTGTGTCTTTTACTTTGAGTTTGATTGTGGGCAAGTTACTTACCTTCTCTATGCTCTATATTACTCAGTTATCAAATATAATAATGATACTACCGACCTAGGTTGTTGTATTTAACAAATTAATATATGTTAATTAATTAATTAATTTTATTAATTGTATTAATATATGTTAATAAAATATTTCATTAGCTCCTGGCACATTTTAAGCTTTTGGTTAACGTTAACTGTCATTATTATAATTACCCAGCCTCTCTTAAAAATCTACTTTTATCAATACTGGTTATTTTTACCAGTTAGTTGCATGCAGCCCTTAAACAAAAGTCTTATTGACTATAAATATACTGTTCTTATAGCTTTATGATAAATACTATTGTCCCTCTTGCTCAGCTGAGATAAATACAGAGAGATTGCCACAGGCTTTGTGGTCAGATTGCCTCGGTTCTGAACTAAGTTCTACTTTATACTAACAGTGTGAGCCAGAACAAGTTATTTCAGCTCACCATGTCTTGGTTTTCTCACCTGTAATCAGGAATAATTTTATGTACCTCATAAAGTTGCTGTGAGGCTTAAATGGGATAATGGCTATAAAGTATTTGGCACAGTGCTTGGCACAGAGTAAGTAATAAATATTAGCTAAGTGGCACACATAGTAACGCTGGAAAGGGAGAGAAATGCGGGACTGAAATTCTCTCCTCCTGCTCAGAGTAGGAGCTCTGGTGTGGATCAAAAATAAAGCTTAGTTCTGGAGTCCATAGAGCCACACAATTAGACCACCCTGCTAGGGTGGAGTATAGGAAATATAAATAGAACTGGTCTAAGGCAAACAAACCCTTGCTTTCTTTTGGCTCTCTTGGATCCCTTCTTTTCTGCATAGTTTGCTCTTTTGATTCCTTCTGATCCCAGTGGGTTGGTGCAGGAAGACACCATTCCACAGCTCTTGAAAATTTGAGCAGGATCAGGGTGCAGCTCAGGGGAAAGGAGACAGAGAGTGGGTGGTTTAGCTCATCTAGATCTTAGAAAAACAAGAAAGAGAAAGAGGGGGAAAGGGCGTTTAAAAAGAGAGATTGAGAGACAGAGAGAGAGTGTGCACACTTTTTTTCTATGTTCTCACTTATTTTCTCCTTTTTGGCCAAAATTTTAAGATCCAGTGAACTAAGATATGATGTGAGCTGAGCTTGCTTTCTTGTGTGAACCCCAAGCTAGATGGGAAAAAGGAATCCCTGGCAGTATACATGTTTCAATCTAGCATTGAATAAAGAGAGTTCCTTCAGTGCTATTTATCTCCTGGATAATACAGAGGTTTTTTTAAAATGGCCACAAATTCATTGTCACTCCTTCCATCAAGAAGTGGGATCTGTGGCTACCCTATTCTCCATGATGTGCTTATTTCACATTGCATGCCTGTATCAAAAAACTCATATACCCTGTAAATCTATATATCTACTATGTACCCACAAAATTTAAAATAAAATAATTTTAAAAACAAACAAGCAAACAAAAATAAGGCCATGGCCAAACATGGGAACTTGTTGCCATGGTTAAATGGTGGTAGGGCCAACTTGACCTGATTTCAGAGATGGAAGAACAGAAAGAGGAAAATCAACACTGAGGGTAAAATTAATGCTTTATTCTTAAGTGATCCTGTGAAGAGGAAGTGCCAGGTGAACTGGGATCAGTTTCTGAACTTGTCTGTATTTCTCTTTACCTTGAGAATTTACCTTTGTTCAATCTAGCTCTGGGGGGAAAGCCTCAGATGTTGGTTTCTTCCCACCATCAGCACAGCTACCCTCTCCTGTAGTTTCATGCGGGCTCACTTTGCAAAACTGGAATGGTGACAATCATGAACACCTCATCTCAGAATGCCTGGAAGGGCCAGTGGAGTTGAGGCAATCTGAAAGGAGGAATTAGAAATATCCAACAAACCAATGTTTTACCACCTGGTTTTCAATCATAAACTTCATTAATCTGAAAGGAAGTTGAGCTATTCATATTTGCAAGGAAGCATCCAAGGTCAAGTGTTCACTGCTAATTAGAATCCTAGAACTTTGGGGCTTAAATACCTTCAGAAGCCTTCTGGTTGAATCTTTCATTTTACTCATGAGAAAACTGAAGCTCAGGGAAAGGAAGTCACTTGGATAAATTTATTAAACCACAAAGTGGCAGAAGCAAGGAAAGAAACCTGGTTTTCCAAGTCTGAATCCAGAGTTATTTTTACTACATCTGTGCCTCACAAACTTCAATATGCACACAAATCACTTGAGGCTCTTTTACAAAAGGCTACTAAGGAGAAAAAAAAATTGACTTACCCATACCATCACATTTCTTCTTATCTTATCTTTTATCTTGTGCATGTTTATTTCACCATCTTTCTTTGAAATACAGACTGTTTTTCATTTTTCATCTCCTTATTACCCCTGCTTTCATTTGTCCATTTTGACACTTGCCTTGGTATTAGTACCAGTAAATAATGAAATACGCACAAGAGAAAAGATAGCAGATGTGATGTCATGACTAAGTCAACGTGCTTCTCCTTCGTGGCCTTTTGCAAAAGGTTTGTTGAAGGTGGAGGTAGAAACTGGTTTCAAAATAAGTTTGGGGGCTATTTCTGGATTTCCTGTCCCCTGTATTCATGGAAAATCCAAAGCATACAGTATGAATATATAGTAGTGTGCCCAGTTTTATTCTGTGGTTTGTGGAAACTGGTCACACTGCTTTATAGCCACACCACATATATTTAAAGGCTATAGCTATGCAATGGGGTTTCAGTCCAAATGGTTCAGAAAACTACTTCAATCTTTTACTTTGTCAGTAGGATTCTGGCTGGTACTTAGAGAAGAACTAGATGAACAGGGAAACTTATGACTTCTATTTAAGCAAGCCAGGACCTTCAAATTAAGTGGGGTTATTTTCCTTCCCAATTTTAGAAGATATAAGCTCACACTGGAGCTAGTTCTCTGCCTTCCCAGCTTTATGACTCATGTGACCTTACCTTGGCTAGTTCACTTCCTTCTCAGGGCCTCAGTTCCCTAATTTGTAAAATGAAGGACTGGACTACTTCCAAAGCTCTTGTATTTCAGTTACCATGTTCATCCCTTGAACATGGTAATTGATGTGCAAGACAATGACTAAATCCATGAAATCATCTGCTCCAACTATGTTCTCCAGGTTCTCTTACTTCCTAACATAGTAGGAGCACACAGAAGATTTTCAGCACAAAAGTTGAAACAATGAAGCCTTTTTTGGTTACCCAGAAAAATAAATCAACCAGAACTTTTCTCTCAGCCACCAAGAGTTCTGGTAACCTGTGTTTTCCCTCTGAGAAGCTTTTCTGCCAGTGTCTTTTATGCTTGTCGGTGACAAGAAGCAAGACTAAGGGTAAGAGTGGGAGTAGCTGGAGTCTGCACTCAGTGGGCTGCAGAGTAGTTGACAATCATGTTTTCTTATTAGGTGTCAGGAATGACCTTGGCCATTTATGAAATATAAGTGATGCCAGGGAATGCTTAGCTGTTCTTTAGAAAAGATTTAGATTAAAATTCCTGCACTGCAATTTTACAAAAGAGAGCAGAGGAAAGGGAAACATCAAGCTAAGTTTGACCTTCTCACCTTGTGATTCTGATCTTCGAGGGTCTCTGGTGACAGTGCTATGCCTTCTTTGTGCATAGCTGGCACTCAATTTTTTGAGAACTGGCTTCAGTACTTCTTGCCTTAGAAGAAAATAAAAAGCAAAATTGTATGATGAAATATGGATGAACCCAAAACAAGAAAGAGAGAGAAGGAGAGAGAGAGAACAAACAAAACCCAGAGAGGTCACAGGGTCTACCTTTTACATCTAAGGAAGTAGAAGCTTAAGTGAGCTCAGGCAGAATTGGCCATGTGATGTTTTTAAAAGTCCATATAAGGAAATATCATGCTACAGCCTGTCAGTACTGCCAATTCTGCTCATGAATTTTCTATTCCGTTTGACACTTCTGTTTTCTGGAGTTATAAAAGGAGGAGTGCTTCTTCTTAATAAACTTCCTCTTCCACAGCGGGATAGAAAGGAACCATAGCTGAAAATAGGAGTTTTTAAGTGTGGCAGAGCAAGCCCAGAAATCGAGGTTTTCAGCCTAGGTTATCTTCTAACTAGCAGTGCGTCCTTGGGCAACTAGTCTTTCTATGGCATTTTTTTTTAATCTGGAAAATTAAAGAAGGTCAGAGTATAAAATCTCTAAATTATCTTCTACTAACACAAATATGTGTTGCTTTTTTTTTTCAACTTTTATTTTCGATTTGGGGGCTACATGTGCATGTTTGTTACATGGATGTATTGCATGATGCTGAGGTTTGGAGTACAGTACGATTGAACCCATCATCCAAGTTGTGAACACAGGAACCAATAGGTCATTTTTCAACCTTTTCCTCCCCGCTTATAGTCCCCAGTGTCTATTGTTCCCGTCTTTATGTCCATATGTACCCACTGCATAATTGGTTCTTGAAATGTTTGTGCTGAAGCACCCTGGAATTTGATTCCCAAGCAACTAATGCTGCCATCTTGTGGTCAAAACAAGTTTGTCTTTTTGTTCTAAAGATGGCTCTCCAGCTAAGAAACAAATGATGATGTGCATTCATTCAGTATATTATCATCTATGTATGTACGTATATCTATCTATAGCTATCTATCTATGTATATCTGTAATCTATCTGTTTATCTATAGCTCTATCATCTGCTCATAATCTATGTATCTATCATCTATCTATCCTATTTTTTAATTTTTTATTGAAGTATAACATACATATAGAAAATTTCACCATTAATAAGGATGCTAAATTTTCACAGACTAAGCATATCTGGCACTCAGATCATGAAACAGAGCACTACTAGATCCCACAAGCCCTCTTGTGCCCCTTTTTAGTCACTGCTCCCCACCCCCAACCCACACTCACAGTGAATTTCACAAATATAACATTGTGCAAAATAAGGCCAGATGTAAAAGCTAGTACCCACCCCCTGCCCTGGGTTATCACTATCCCCATGACTAACAGTGTAGATTTATTTTGCTTGTGTTTGTACTTTATAGAAATTGAGGTATTCTCTATGTATCATATTGTTGCATATAGTTGTAGATCATTCTTGTTGCTGTAGAGTATTCCTCAAGAGCCTCTTAAAAATTGGTCTGCGGTGGCCGGGCATGGTGGTTCACACCTGTACCCCCAGCACTTTGGGAGGCCTAGTTGGGTGGATCACTTGAGGTCAGGAGTCCGAGACCAGCCTAGCAGACATAGTGAAACCCCACTTCTACTAAAAATACAAAAATTTGCTGGGCATTGTGGTGCGCACCTGTAATCCCAGCTACTCGGAAGGCTGAGGCAGGAGAATCGCTTGAACCTGGGAAGCGGAGGTTGCAGTGAACTGAGATTGTGCACTGCACTCCAGCCTGGGTGACAGAGCAAGACTCCATCCCAAAAAAAAAAAAAAAATTGGTATGTGGTTAAATTAAATTTTGTTTTTTTCAGTATGAAAGTCATGTTTTGTGCATGGTAGGAAAGTTTTTAAAAAAAGTAACTCATAATCCTCTTCCCAAAGGTAGATCAACCATCATTAATATTTTGGTGTTTTTTATCTCAATATTGTTTCGATACATTTTTTTCAACAATTAAGATAGTTGTATATAGAATTGTATGTATAAATTTTGTTACCTTAATAGTAGAATGTAAACATATCACTGTGTTATTAAACATCCTCATGGATATCATTTTTAATTTATTTTTATTTCTGGAAGTCTTTTTAAATAAATAACATTTGCTTACATTTGGGGGGCTCAGAATTTTTTTCTTTGTTTTACTATGAACAAACCCAGTGAACATCCTTAACCACAAAATGTTTTCTGTTCTTTGGATTGTTTCTTTTTAATACAACTTCAAAATTTAATAAAAGTACTAAAAGTAGAACTTTGGGGTCAAAGTCTTTAAAAACAGGAGACAGCTTCAGTTTGTGCCTACGATGCAGTCAGTGATAAGACACTGGGGGAGAAACTGGCACATACTGAGTTCCTAGTATATGTACCAGACATTGTACAAGGGGCTTTACTGACATTCTCTCATTTAATTCCCTGAAAAACTCTATGAGGTACACATAATCTGCTTTTTTGGAGAGAGAAAAATCAGAACTCGGACAGGTTAAGTAACTCATCCAAAGGTGCACGAGGAGTAAAATGGCAGAACCTAGATTTGGACCCTTGTCTGTTAGGCTACAAAGCTTGTGATCTTTCGACTACACCACACTGCCCCCTAGAGTGCAGTTTGAATGATGTAAAGGAAACAGACCCTCTTCTCCAATTAATCATCTCCACGGGCCTGTCACAGTTCCTAATAAACTGTACACGTTATCTGGGCAGGGCAAAATTCTATTTTTCTCAACCATTACATTAAAGCAAGAGTATCAGAGTGGCTTTGATCTTCTAGCAAGGCCTAAGAATAGAAATTGGGCCCCAAGAGAGTGTGAGCAGTGTTTGCCTAAGAAGAGGAAGAAGCTGTTTCCCACCTATGTTCATTCTTCTTGAACTTTTTCTACAGTGAGATGGAAATTGCCTTTTTCCTCTTGTTTGCCTTCTATTAATACATCTGAGTGCTCGGTCTTCCCTGCCCCATCCCTCTGACTTTTCCCCAGCTTGAATGTTGTAGCAGCCAGTTGGTGCACTACTAAAGTTCTCTCTGTCTCCTTTCTGCAAAAACTAAAGCCTCATGGCTGGGTTTTTGGATACCCTTCCTGGTCATTCCAGCTGCTTTCTAGTTCCACTATTCCTTCCTTCTCTTCTCCTCCTGCCAAGTACATCTTCTTTATTTCTCCAGATTCCATCTTGTTATCTGCTACTACTATTAGTACTACTACTACTACCCACCCCCCACCAAAAACCAATCTCCCAGATTATCTGAAGCTACTTTGGGAAGCAGAGGGTAGAGTCCTGAGAGAAGGAAATGAGAGAGGAAAAAAAAAATGTCAGTTAGGGCAGGGCGCGATGGCTCACGCCTATAATCCTAATACTTTGTGAGGCCGAGGCGGGTGGATTGCCTGAGCTTAGGAGTTCGACACCAGCCAGGGCAACATGACGAAACTCCGTCTCTACTAAAATACAAAAAATTAGCCAGGTGTGGTGGCATGCACCCATAGTCCCAGCTACTCAAGAGGCTGAGGCACACGAATTGCTTGAACCCAGGAGGCAGAGGTTACAGTGAGTCAAGATCATGCCACTGCATTCCAGCCTGGGCAACAGAGTAAGACTCTGTCTAAAAAATAAATAAGTAAATAAATAAATAAATAAATAAATATTTAAAAAGTCAGCTCAACTCAGTTGCTGCATGTTAGATAAATGTCAGGCAGCTGGAGTACAGCATGAGCACTTGAAATGACTACCATGAACACAAATGCCGACCTGCTGCATCCTGCCTTAGGTCTGAGACATGAAAGAGATGTCAGTATGTCCTTCCTTGTTCTGAATTGCCCAACAAGCAAAACCTTTACCAGATAGCTGTACTTCCCTCTCCGTCAAACCGACACCAAAGTAAAACTCACCCTGCAATATCCTCACCCTGATGCTAAAGTTTGTACCAAGTTTGGGGAACTAATGAGCATCAGAGTCCTATTATTTTAAAAAAGTGATGGTGGAACAATTGTATATCCATATACAGAAATAAACAAACAATACATCTCAACCCTTATCTCATACCATATATTAATACAAAAATTAACTGAAAATGGATTATAGACCTAAATGTAGGTGTTAAACTATAAAAGTCTTATAGGAAAACCTAGGAAACATGATAAACATAATTCTTTATTACCTAGAGTTTCCGGTTTCTTAAATATGACAATGAAAGCATAAGCAACAAAAGAAAAAAGTAGAAAAACTGGACTTCATCAAAATTTGTTTGGTACAGCAACAAATTAGATAACCTAGATAAAATGGATAAATTCTGAGAAACACACAAATTACCTAAACAGACTCAGAAAGAAATAGAAAATCTGAACAGACCTATAACAATTACAAAGTTTGAATCAATAGTTAAAAAAAAAAAAACAAAAAACCTCCCAAAAAAGAAAAGTCCAGGACGAGACGGTTTCACTGGTGAAATCTACTAAACATATAAAGAAGAATTAATACCAATTTTTTCTCAAACTGTCCCAAGAAACAGAAGAAAAGGGAATATTCTATGAAGTCAGTTTTCCCTTGATACCAAAGCCACATGAAGGCATCACAGGAAAAGAAAACTACAACTATCTCATGTGAATACAGGTATAAACATTCTCAATAAAATTGTATCAAACTGAATTCAATGGCATATGAAGAGGACTACACATCATGAGCAAGTGGGATTTATCCCAGGAACAAAAGGGTTGTTTAGTATAAGAAAATTAATCAATGTAACGTATTACATTAAAAGAAAGAAGGAAAAAACACATGATAATTTCAATTAAGGCAGGAAAAACATTTGACAAAGTCTAGCCACCCTTTTTTGATAAAAACTTTCAACAAATTAAGAGTAGAAGAGAATTTCCTCAGCATGTTAAAGGGCATTTATGAAAAACCCACAGCTAGCATCCTCCTCAATGATGAAAGACTGAAAATAGTCTCTTAAAATCAGGAGCAAGACAAAGATGCCTGCTTTTACCACTGCTATTCAACATTGTACTAGAAATTCTAGTCAGATAAATCAGGCAAGAAAATAA